AATAACCATGAAGGGCACCTTTGACCTTACCACCCTGGAACGTAATAACAATTGAATATGACACAACTCTAAAGACAATGGGTGATAATGTCTGTAACATAAGATTAAAACCAGAGAGAGCTGCTAAAATACTTAGATAAGTAACAAAAATCTGCATCCACATATCATTTACATTCATGGTTTGCAGCAGTTTAACCTGCACGTGGCACAGAATTCTTGCATAAGAGTGAGTTATATGTGTCATGCAACATAATGTAAGTGTTATTCTGAAAAAAATTCATCCATGTGCACCACATTATTGTTTGAATACCTTCCATGACACACAGTAGTTTTGTTTATTTTATTTTTTTGTCTTAGATCTGTGTCAATCATGCAGAAGCCCCTCCCACACGGTGTAATAGATACTTCCACTCAAACAAAGAGCGATTCTCATCCAGTTCAATCCAGTTTGAAGCAAAGGGGAGCGACACATTCCTCCGACCTGTGCGCACAATGCTTTCAAGTACACGTAATGTTCTTTTATGCAGCCATTCCGACAAGAAACACTGCAGACTTTTTACAATATATACCAAATTATTGCCTCTTCATAGAACAATCATCATATATCACCAAAGGGACTGATGCCAATGTTGAGTTATTCTAATTCTCCAATATATAAAAAAGTGGCCTTTCTTTCTTTTGGTAGAATCCAGAATGATCACCTGGTTTGTATGTGTTTTATCCCCGCTCTGCACAAGGTCGAAAATTATCCAGGCAACCCTATTTCCAGTTTGGAGGCAGGATTATTGGGTGCTTATCTGACCTATCGGCCTATTTGCAAGTAGTGGAAACAAAAGTAAACTTAAGCTGGCCCAACTGTGGCAGTGTGCAGCAGGTGTGGCACTTTGTGTAAACATGTCCCAATGGAGACTTTTATGTTTCTTCTACAATGGGCGACCTTGTGGTTATTAATACGCCTGCAAGCCTTGGGCACATTCATCGGCAAACAGAGAACGCTTCAACGCTTCAAGAGAACGCTTCAACGCTTCAAGAGAACGCTTCAACTATTGTTCTATTGTTGCAGCATACGTAAAAAAAGAACTACTTAAATCCCATATAGTTTTAGAAATATTCTTTCTAACGGCACATATCTGCAAATTAACTATTCATATTTATAATGTAAGTATAAATCATGGATCTATTATAATAACTGGATATGGTATTACTAGCTTGTCAGCTACAAGCTAGTAGAACTCATGTGCTTGAGGGATTCTCGCGGTACTGCAGACTAGACCAGACTAAATTCAGGTGGGCTACCCAGAAATTTTCCCCATAGAACTCAATGTAAATTAAAACAGCTCAACCTCAGCTGACAGAGAACCTACAGCTTTAATAAAGATCGGATTTTGTGGGAATTTTAGTGTCCCTTGTCATCCTGAACGTTTTTCTTCTTAAATCCTTCGGTTTTCTTTAAATCCACACTTTAGTGCCACAAACTCTGCTTGTCTGGCTCTCGTTCTAACTCCCGCTCTGATGAACTGCTCTGATTGGTCAGAGCGCGGCCGAGCCCCTCTGTGCACGTGCGTGAGACCCAGTGTGAGACCCACATACGCGTGTTCGACGCAACGCATTATGGGAGATCATCCACTGCGCAGAACCGGGAGGACCAGACGATGCCCAAATACAGGCGAGTTTCCCATAGATCTTTGCGAGTTCCAGGCGAGTTCCGCTAATCTTTCAGCCCCCATGCCGTCACAAAGCGCCACTGAGCAAAACCATTCATTTGACTATGGTCAAATGAATCGCCCCGGCGATCATCTTGGATCGCCGGGGCTTGGTTTAAATACACATATATACATGAATAATTCATGTGCACTTTGTCCTCTGCATTTGACCCATCCTGCAAAGTCGAGGGAGTGGTTTCCGTAGTACAGTGTCCAGGAACCCATCTCAATAAAAAAGGCCCTGTTCCGACTCGGATTCAAGAAGAGAATCCGAGTCGAGTGCTATCCACTCAGCTACCGTACCTCCATGTAGTTATGCGATTACAAATATTGAGAAGACTTTGAGTTGAATTGAATTTGCCAGCCTGTGTAACAATGTCTGCTCGAATGCACAAACAAAATAAAGGGTTCCTTTATTTGTCCCACGGTAGAGAATTTCCATCCATCCATCCATCCATTTTCTTCCCCTTAATCCATTTCTGGGTCGGGGGGGTGGCCAGAGATGCCACCGTCCACAGAGCACCAGCCCCTCACTGATCCTCCTGCAGGTGGTGAGTCCACAGGAGCTGAGATCTTTCAGAGGAGGCTTCAGGCAAAGTGGGGTTAAGTGTCTTGCCCAAGGACACAGCAGTCATCAGTGGGAGTCGTGAAGTAGGTCATACGGTGGGCTCGAACCCACGACCTTCAGGCTCTAAGGCCAATGCTTGGAGAAATTCCATGTTAATCACA